AGCCAGGACGGTCTCAATCTCCTGACCTCGTGATCTGCCCACCTCGGCCTCCCAAAGTGCTGGGATTACAGGTGTGAGCCACTGCGCCCAGCTGACCCTCAGTAACATCTTTAAACTGCACAGTGTTAATTTAAAGAATCAGAACATCATCTTTTCTTTAATACATTGCTTTTCATTTGATTGCCAATTAAATTGAATAAGGATATTTATTTTCTGAACATCAGAAGATTTGCAGACAAATGATTTGAGTAAAATCTGAGCAAATTAGAAAATGTTTATTTCTATCTTTTTAGTTTATTCAGAAGAGGTTTTGTTTTGTTTTATTTTGTTTTGTTTGAGACAAGGTCTTACTCTGTTGCCCAGGCTGGAGTGCACTGATGTGATCTCAGCTCACTGCAACCTCTGCCTTCTGGGTTCAAGCGATTCTCCTGTCTCAGCCTCCCCTAGTGGCTGGGATTACAGGCACCTCCCACTGCGTCTGGCTAAGTTATCTGTAGATGACATTTCACCTGAAGAAGTTGGTGGTGACCCTTATCCATAACCAAATGTAGGATTTTTAGATTTGGGAAAAGCAAGTATGATGACTTACAAAGCTCTGCCTTAAAGGGTAATACATTGGTTTAATCAGGTTTACTCCACAAAGAGGAATTCAGGTAGCTTAGTTGTATATCTTCTTTGAATCTAATGACAGTCTTTTGAATTGAGGAGTTAGTCATATTTTTTTTCCAGCCAGAATTCCCAGTTGGTCTTTCTTCTTAATTCTCCAGTGTTCACTAGATTTGAAATTCTGCCCTGCTTGCCCATGGTGCTTTGTCTTATGGTAGTCTCATTCTCTAAAACCATTTATCTTGACCATCAGTGTGACTTGTCTTTCCAGATCTCTGCCTTTGTCTGATCTCTGAAACACCAAAGCTCTTCCTTTCCTTTCAAACTTTCCTTGTGACCACAGTCACAAACGTTGCTGTGCTCTGAGATGGTGGTTGGAAACCAGTCCAAGCTGCATTTGGCACATTATACACCAGTGAAGACAGGTTGCCAGGATGAAGCCATAGGTTGTCTCACAGTTACAGATGAACAACTCCCTGCCCCTAGGTTCCCCTTCTACTGATGTAACTAAGGTCTCTAACCCAGAACTCCCTAGGCAATCTGCTATAGCACCATTACTGATGGTTGATGGACATGCCAAGGTATTGACCTCTTCAGCCAGTAGTGGCTGGTTAGAGCTTGGCAAAGGAGCAGCCTCCTCCGTTTATCTCAGTGTGCCATACAAATAATATTTTCTCTGGATGTCACAGTGTGAAAAGGGGTGGGAGGTAGTGCCGTGTTGAGCCATGTTAGAGCCCCAGGCAAAAGAAAACAATGTGTATTCCTATATATTTTTTCTTCTTTAATGGCTAATTTTTTTCCAGACTATTAAAGTAGTTGGAAAAATAGTGAAAAAAAAAATGAGAAGTGTGCGTATTAAAACTTACTTTAAGTACTGCATGCATAAGACAGTTTCCACAAACAAAGTACTGTCCAGCCTGGCATATCAGTGGTGGCCAGCAGTTGAGAAACTCTGATCTAACCAATGAAACTTTGATGTCTTATTTTTGTCCTGACATAATGAATAGAGAGTGAACCACGAGACGCTGGAACTGACCAACGTAGCTCTGGCATTATTCGCCTGCATACAATAAAGCAAATCATAGATCAAGTAAGTTATTAAAATTTGGCCTATTTCATTATGTTATTGTGGTTTTGAGTGGGATGGGATTTGGTTAATTTGAAAGTAGAAGGTAGTTTTTCTAAGACTATTACTGACATACTATAAGAAAATTAAGCCCTTACTGAAAAGCATTATAATAATTACTTTCAAGGGAATAGTTACTGTAGGCATCAGAAGATGATTTTTCATTACCAGAAAACAAGTGTATGATGTTTAGATGGAATTAACAGACTGCTTATATATTACATCAGTACAATTCAAGTTGTAGTTTGATATTTACATTCATAAGGAATGTCAGGAACATTAAATTCTTAAACTTATTTTTTTCTAACTGCACACGGATAATACTGTCAGATGGCGGTGTTAGGGCTAAGTCTTAAAAGTGAACTTCATAGAAAGGTTTTTAGAAATTTGGCTAGAAATGGAATTGAATTAACTTAAAATTAGTTTTTTAATATGTGCTCCTGAGACATTAGAATACAATTAAAGATCCGTTACCACTGAAATTTTGTTTGTTTTTGTTTTTGAGGTAGGGTCTTGCTCTGTCGCCCAGGCTGGACTGCAGTGGCGTGATCTCGGCTCACTGTAGCCTCCACCTCTCAGGTTCAAGCGATTCTTGTGCCTCAGCCTCTGAAGTAGCTGGGATTACAGGCGTGCACCACCGTGCTTTGCTAGTTTTTGTATTTTTAGTAGAAACAGGGTTTCTCCATACTGCCCAGGCTGGTCTCGAACTCCTGGCCTCAAGTGATTCACCCACCTCGACCTCCCGAAGCACTAGGATTATAGGCATAGCGTGAGCCACCGCACCCAACTGAATGTGATGATTCTTAATTAATGATGTCTTGTGTCTTTGTATATATTTTGCTTTCTTTTTCTAGGACAAACATGCTTTATTAGATGTAACACCAAATGCAGTTGATCGTCTTAACTATGCCCAGTGGTATCCAATTGTTGTATTTCTTAATCCTGATTCTAAGCAAGGAGTAAAAACAATGAGAATGAGGTTATGTCCAGAATCTCGGAAAAGTGCCAGGAAGTTATATGAGCGATCTCATAAACTTCGTAAAAATAATCACCATCTTTTTACAAGTGAGTATGTTAATAAAGGCCTTCTTTCAGCTTACAATGTCTGGGCAACATTAAGTAGGCCAAAATGTTACAGTGTTCAAATACTAAAACTTACACAATCTTTTCTTGGAAAGTTTCCTGTTGTGTTAACAGCTGCTATTTGGTTAAAAGAAAATATACAGTAGCAAAATAGAAATTTCAGATATTTGCATCCTCAGATACCATCTTTCAGTAATGATGATTTAGCTGTAAGCAGGGTTGAATTCTTCTGACTTTTGGCAGTGCTCTAACCATAAAACTACATCGTTAATTTATTTTCAGCTACAATTAACTTAAATTCAATGAATGATGGTTGGTATGGTGCACTGAAAGAAGCAATTCAACAGCAGCAAAACCAGCTGGTGTGGGTTTCTGAGGGAAAGGTAAGACATTTCCTGTTACGTTTTTGACTTGTTCAGTAAACTGTGTAACTAATCAGAGATGCTTTTGAGGTACCAGTGCTTTCTAATTAGATCAACGTTTTGGAGAAATTTAGGGAAAGTTAGCTTTTAGGTTTTTATAATTTGTGTGTAGGGGTTATGAAAGTTGTTTCTGATGGTAAGAGAATTCTTAAATTTTCTCACCTGTTGAATTACCACTACAGTAGGATTGTCTCCTAAAGAATCTCAAATTATAATGAAGAGCAGGTTGAGTTCTGATGCTGCCCCTGTCTGGCTATGAATGACGACTTTGAGCCTGGCTTCAGTTTCCTCCTCTGAAAATGAGGGGATTTGGAGGCCTAGATGAGCATCTCCCAAAGTGCTGTCCTCAGCATTCTCAATTCAGGACTTGCTCTGAGAGAGAAGGCACTGTGAAGGCAAGCAGCAGGTGGGAAATAAACCCTAGACCCCTTCAGGAGTATCCTGGTACCCACTGGCATTGAAAGGCTCTGAGACATCTTAAAGTTAAAAAGCCCACTACATGCATTTCCTCACATTTATTTTTCACTCAACACCTATTAACATTCTTACAGCATACTGGGAGATATTGAACAAAGTACTAGATCCTTCCTGGCTTTGAATTTTGTTTTCTATATGTCCAAATGGCCAGCTTTAAAATAACTACTTTCTATTGTCAGTCTTTCTGGTTTTATAGCAATCTTTGATGGGAAGGTGTATTTATTTTGTCTGGAGAGTTAATCATTTCCTCCGAGTACACCATTGAAGGAAGCTTTTTTTTTTTTTTTTAAATGTCTTTTACCTTTTTCAGATCAGTGCAATAAGTTTTGGTTATTAGGGAAGATTGAGAATATCTCTGGTTTTTATTTTGTTTTTTGTACTTCTTGTTGGTTTGGTTTTTGTTGTGTTTTGCCCCCGCATGGTCCCTCTCTTCCTCTGCCTGGCTGTGGCTACAGATGGCTCTGAGAGTGCATGCTGCATGCTTAGGACCCCCCGTGTCCCTACCCAGACATACACAGCCTCTGCAAGGAGAGCTATTAACACTGAGAGGCAGTGTCTGTTGTTCTCACCTATAGTAAGGTGTCAGAACTATGGTTTTTCTCTTTGTGAACCAGTCTGGGGGATGGACCATGTATATAAGAGCCTAAGACCACTCTGAATAACGTCATCTGGAACTTGATAGGAAAATGAAGGTGGAAGCAAACCACACCACTTGACAGGAACACGCTATTACTAATTTCTACTTTTGCAGCACTTGAGGATTGTAGTCGTCTTCATACTGATCTTCTATAGCAACACAATTCTATTAACATCCTTTGTCAGGTCCAGTGTTAATAGCTTGCACTAGTGAATTCTTAAAATGAAACTAGTCTATAAATGTTTTCCCAAAATGCACAAAGTATACATGTCTACTACCTGAGAGGCTTTTTTAAAATCCACAAATCTTAATTTTTTATAATTTCTTTTAGTGATATTCTTATCTGCTTTCTTTGCTTGGTTTTAAAATAAAGGTCCAATTTTATAGCTTTTTATGTGAGGAAAAACAGGTTATTATCAGGCTAAACTGATGCATTTTGTAAGGCAGAAAACATTGTTATAACTTAAAGCTTATCTTCCTGTCCCCTTCTTTTCAAGTATATTTCATAGAATAGATTCTTAAACTAAAACCACTTCATTTCACATTGACTTTCCTGAACCAACTATTTTGACCTAATTGCTAGAAAGAGTTCCTTTTTACAAGATCTAACACAGTCTTATATGTTCCCTGCTAAACCAGGAAAAGCCAGGAAAAGGCTTTCTTAACATATTTCCTAGTTCAAAGCAACTCGTCGTTCTTGCTCACATATGCATTTCAAACCAGCTGCAAAAACTAAGTGGATTGATTAGTTCTAAGTTATTTTTGCCCAGACTTTCAATATTTCCTTGAGTGGCTACTGGATTATAGTATTCAGAACCCTGGCAAGTTAAAGATTAGAGTAGATAGCAAGAAGACTTTTCTTCTGCAACAGTTGTTACCGAGTTTAGAAGCCACTGAGACTTGTTCAGAGAGATTGTGCCCTAACAGGATAGATCCCTGGATTCCCACTCTCCCCAGCCCAGCCTGGCAGATACTCTCTCGAAAACCGGAGCATGGGGAGACCTGACACACCCTAGTCTTTCTTATCAGGAAGGTCGTGCTCAAGGTCAGAGTCTTAACAAGCCAAGCTTGGGGACTGCATGGAAAGCTCCATTCAGGCAGCTTGACTCCCAAGACCATGCTTCTGGCACAGCAGATGTGCAGAGCCACACCAGACCTGCTAGTTAATAGCAGTACATCTTCCTGGAGGACAAGAGTCTCATGTTTGTCCTTCGGTCCACACTGAAGTGGAAGAAATGCTTTCTGATTTCTGGATTCCAGGTCCTTCAGCTGTCATGACTGAGCACATTGTCTAGGCAGGGTCTTCAGGGAGTGTTCTTTTTAATCCAGGTACTAGTGTCACATTACTGTCCAGTGATAACCTGTTGATTGCAACTCTGTAGCTTCCTTTCCCTCAAATACTTCTCACTTTCTTTCTGATCTACTCCGAAGACAATCAACATAGACTATTAGAAACTGAGTTCTTAATTACTTACAGAAGAAAAGCATTACTGTATTTTTCCCTCTCCATCCGTTGGATACTGCTTCTATGAAAAATAATAAAGAATTTCTTCTTAATGTGGCAACCACCACGTAGGTGATGATTTCCATTGTGTTTCATAACAGCTTTAAGGGCCAAATGTTTAACAGGTTGTTTTAGTCTACTCTTGAACTGCTGTAAAGAACTACCTGAGACTGGGTAATTTATAAAGAAAAGAGATTTAATTGGCTCACAATTCTGTGGGCTGTACAGGCTTCTGCTTCTGGGGAGGCCTCAGGAAACTTATGGCAGACAGTGAAGGGGAAACAAGCATATCTTAATTACATGGTTGGAGCAGGAGGAAGAGAGAGAAGCGGGGAGTGCTGCACACTTTTAAACAGACAGATCTTGGGAGAACTCTTATCACAAGATAGCACTAGGGGGATGGTGCTAAACCATTAGAAACTGCCCTCATGATCCAATCATCCCCTACCAGGCCCCACTCCAACACTGGGAATTATAATTCAACATGAGATTGGGCTGGGGACACAAATCCAAACCATATCATGCTGTCGCTGGTCCCTCCCAAATTTCATGGCCTCCTCACTTTGCAAAATAGAATGGTGCCTTCCCAGCAGTGCCCCAAAGTCTTAACTCATTTCAGCATTAACTCAAAAGTTGAAAGTCTCTTCTGAGACAAGGCTACTCCCTTCTACCTAGGAGCCTGTAAAATCAAAAACAAGCTAGTTACTTCCAAGAGACAAAGGGGATATAAGCATTGGGTAAATACTCCCTTTTGAAAAGGGAGAAATCTGCCAAAACGAAGGGCCTCCAGTCCCCATGCAATTCCAAAAGTAAGTAGATTAGTCATCAAGTCTTAAAGCTCCAAAATAATCTCCTTTGACTCCTCAGCTCACACCCAGGCTACACTGATGCAAGGGGTGGGCCTCCAAGGCCTTTGAAGCCACGCAGGGCACAACCCCTGTAGCTGCTTTCATGGACTGGCATTGAGTGCCTGTGGCTTTTCCAGGCGCATGATGCATGCTGTTGGCAGACCTACCTTTCAGGGTCTGGAGGACAGTGGCCCTCTTCTCACAGCTCCACTAGGCAGTGCCCCAGTGGGGACTCTGTGTGGGGGCTCCAACCCCACGTTTTCCTTCCACAGTGCCCTAGAGGTTCTCCATGAGGGCTCTGCTCCTGCAGCAGACTTCTGCCTGGACATCCAGGCATTTCCATACATCTCTGAAATCTAGGCAGAGGCTCCCAAGCCTCTACTGTCTGCCTCTGTACATCCACAGACTTAGCACCATGTGGAAGCTGCCAAGGCTTAGGGCTTGCACCCTCTGAAGCAACAGCCTTAGCTGTAACTTGGCCCCTTTTGACCATGTCTGGAGCTAGAGCAGCCATAATGCAGAGCACCATGTGCTGAGGCTGCACAGAGCAGCAGGGCCGGGCCTGGCTCACAAAACCATTTTTCCCTTCTAGGCCTCCGGGCTTGAGATGGAGGGGGCTTGAGATGGGAGGGGCTGCCACAAAGGTCTCCGAAATGCCCTGGAGACATTTTCCCCCATTGTCTTGGCTGTTAACATTCTGTCCCTCCTTACTTAGCAAATTTCTGCAGCCAGCTTGAATTCCTCCCCAGAAAATTGGTTTTTATTTTTTACCACATGGCCAGGCTACAAATTTTCCAAACTTTTATGTTCTGCTTCCCTTTTAAATATGAGTTCTAGTTTCAGATAATCTCTTTGTTCACACATATGAACACATGCTGTTAGAAGCAGCCAGGTCGCTTCTTGAATGCTTTGCTGTTTAGAAATTTCTTCCACCAGATACCCTAAATCATCTGTCTCAAGTTCAAAGTTCCACAGATCACTAGAGCAGGGGCACAGTGCCACCAGTCTCTTTGCTAAAGCATAGCAAGAATTATTGACCTTTACTCCGGTTCCCAGTAAGTTCTTCTTCTCTGTCTGAGACTTCCACAGCCTGAACTTTATTGTCCATATCACTATCAGCATTTTGGTCAAAACATTTCTACAAGTCTCTAGGAAATTCCAAACTTTCCCTCATTTTTCTGTCTTCTTTTGAGCCCTCCAAACTGTCTCAACCTCTGCCCATTACCCAGTTCCAAAGCTGCTTCCACATTTTCAGATATCTTTTTGGCAATGTCCTACTTCTCTGGTACCAATTTACTGTATCAGTCCATTCTCACACTGCGATAAAGAACCACCTGAGACTGGGTCATTTATAAAGAAAAGGTTTAATTGGCTCACAGTTCTACGGGCTGTACAGGCTCCTGCTTCTGGGGAAGCCTCAGGCAACTTGCAGTCATGGTGGAAGGGGAAGGAAGCACGTCTTACATGACTGGAGCAGGAGGAAGAGAGTGGGGGAGGTGCTGCCCACTTAAAAAAACATCTTGGGAGAATTCTACCACAAGACAGTGTGAGGGAGATGATGCTAAACCATTAGAAACCACCCCCATGATCCAGTCACCTCCCACCAGGCCCTTCTCCCAACACTGGGGATTACAATTCAACATGAGATTTGGGTGGGAACACGAATGCAAACCATATCAGTTGTTTCCTAAACATAAATATATTAGCTCTTGTTCAACTTTTGAACTGTTGGGTTTGTTTCATAGGTATTCTCCCATGTGCTGTTCTGTCAGTGTGTCCTTGTTTCTGTGAGCTTAGTTTGGTAATTCTCCCTCTTCCCCTTGCTTAAAAGGGCTGAAGAGCTAGTCAGTAGGTTTTATAAATCTGAGCAGTGTCAGGGTTTCTTCGTCGTCTTCCAGGGCTGGGCCCTGGAGTCTGACTTTGTCCTGGCTTACCAGCCACTGTTTCCTTCATCCATGCTCTTCAGATCTCGAGGGGTGCTCTGTGTGTCTGTGTGTGTGCTTGTGCAATCTTCTTGACTTTTCCTTACCAGAAGTTTCAAGAAGTAGATGTGACTTCTCCAGAGAAAGATATCCTTTTCAATCTCCCTTATACGATAAAGGCCATCTCTTAAAGAACTACTGAATAAAATTTGTAATTTACTTTTATTTGACCCAGGCGGATGGTGCTACAAGTGATGACCTTGATTTGCATGATGATCGTCTGTCCTACCTGTCAGCTCCAGGTAGTGAATACTCAATGTATAGCACGGACAGTAGACACACTTCTGACTATGAAGACACAGACACAGAAGGCGGGGCCTACACTGATCAAGAACTAGATGAAACTCTTAATGATGAGGTTGGGACTCCACCGGAGTCTGCCATTACACGGTCCTCTGAGCCTGTAAGAGAGGACTCCTCTGGAATGCATCATGAAAACCAAACATATCCTCCTTACTCACCACAAGCGCAGCCACAACCAATTCATAGAATAGACTCCCCTGGATTTAAGCCAGCCTCTCAACAGGTAAGCAGCAAACATTCAACGTTTTGTAGATAGAGGTGCATTATTAAATTTTAGAATGTGGTGATTGAGTTAAAAATATATATGTTGTCCTTTCTCCAGATTAAGAATTAATCTTCAATTTCAATTTGAGAGTACCAAGGACTTAATTCTAAATTTTGTGTGTTTGTCTTAACACAGCAATGTACTGGATTTTTTTTTTTTTTTCTGGAAAGTTTAGGACATGAGGTCATAGTTTTGTTATTCAGCACACTTAAAATGTATGTCTACCAATCACTATAAATTGAAGTGGGAAGTTAGCAGTAAACAGAAACACTATATTTAAAATATTTTAAACACTTCACAGAAAGCAGAAGCTTCATCTCCAGTCCCTTACCTTTCGCCTGAAACAAACCCAGCATCATCAACCTCTGCTGTTAATCATAATGTAAATTTAACTAATGTCAGACTGGAGGAGCCCACCCCAGCTCCTTCCACCACTTACTCACCACAAGCTGATTCTTTAAGAACACCAAGTACTGAGGCAGCTCACATAATGCTAAGAGATCAAGAACCATCATTGTCGTCGCATGTAGATCCAACAAAGGTACCTGTGCTGCGGTGTTGCACTCATTTGTTGCTCTCCATCAATCTGGCACATGATCATTTTTGCTTTGCCCTTTAAGTGTTTCTTTTGCTTTTTTACTGCGGGCTTGTACACTGTAATGCTTTCAAATCAATACAAATCATTTCAGTTTTGTAGTTTGCATGGCTTCCATTGGTATACTGATTATTTGAAAACAGGCCTTTTAATTGAGATTTGTGCTTATTGTTTATTATTTTTATTTTTGGCTTTCAGTATCTTCCAGAATTCCTTAGTACGTAATCGAAACCCATCATAAACATATTTATGTTAACGCAGATTATGATGCCCATAAATTTTCTTTAGGATTTTTCAGTGTCAAAATGAAGTGTAATCAACAGTTTAGTGCATTAATTTTCTACTAAATTTAATATTTATCTTAACTCACTGTTTAGTACATGCTGAAACATAAAAGCCCCTACCTGCATTATAAATTTTGAGCTTTCACTTAAACCAGCATTTTCCACTAATCTTGTCTATCCTGATAATAAATGGTAAAACGTACCATTTTCACATATTAAATCATAGTTTAATATTTAATCATAGTCTAATAAAATAGACTGAAATTAAAAACAAGACTTTGTCCTTAAATGTGGATTTTTTATACAGGTGTACAGAAAGGATCCATATTCCGAGGAAATGATGAGACAAAACCATGTTTTGAAACAGCCAGCCGTTGGTCACCCAGGGCACAGGCCAGACAAAGAGCCTAATCTGACCTATGAACCCCAACTCCCATACGTAGAGAAACAAGCCAGCAGAGACCTTGAGCAGCCCACGTACAGATACGAGTCCTCAAGCTATACGGACCAGTTTTCTCGAAACTATGAACATCGTCTGCGATACGAAGATCGCGTCCCCATGTATGAAGAACAGTGGTCATATTATGATGACAAACAGCCCTACCCATCTCGGCCACCTTTTGATAATCAGCACTCTCGAGACCTTGACTCCAGACAGCATCCCGAAGAGTCCTCAGAACGCGGGTACTTTCCACGTTTTGAAGAGCCAGCCCCTCTGTCCTATGACAGCAGACCACGTTACGAACAGGCACCTAGAGCGTCTGCCCTGCGGCACGAAGAGCAGCCAGCTCCTGGGTATGACACGCATGGTAGACACAGGCCGGAAACCCAGCCCTACCCTTCAGCAGGGCCCAAGCCCGCAGAGCCCAAGCAGTATTTTGAGCAATATTCACGCAGTTACGAGCAAGTCCCACCCCAAGGATTTACCTCTAGAGCAGGTCATTTTGAGCCTCTCCATGGTGCTGCAGCTGTCCCTCCGCTGATACCTTCATCTCAGCATAAGCCAGAAGCTCTGCCTTCAAATACCAAACCGCTGCCTCCACCCCCAACTCAAACCGAAGAAGAGGAAGATCCAGCAATGAAGCCACAGTCTGTACTCACCAGAGTTAAGATGTTTGAAAACAAAAGATCTGCATCCTTAGAGACCAAGAAGGATGTAAATGACACTGCCACTTTTAAGGTAAATATGTCTTTCCTGCCTTGGATGCATAGGCACATGGTTTAAAAGGCTTCTTAGCTCTCCCCTCCCCCATTACATGGTATCTATTCTGTAATTATCTGTTCCTTAGGCATATTTGTCTTTTTTTTTTTTCTCCTAAACAGCCTCCAGAAGTAGCATCTAAACCTTCAGGTGCTCCCATCATTGGTCCCAAACCCACTTCTCAGAATCAGTTCAGTGAACATGACAAAACTCTATACAGGTGAGTGCACTTTGTGCTCTTTGTGGCATAGAACTGACCAGGAATGTATCCCTCTTAGTCAATGAGAAAACCTTTTACTGTGTTAGTAGGGGAGAGGTGTGAATAGGAGGAGTTTGTCCTTAAATAAAAACTATCAGCTCTCCTACACAGTGATTCTAAGAAAAAAAAAAAAAAGTAGAACTTTATTATGCCTTTTCTGACAAATCTTTATACCTTTAGCAAACTTTCGGAAGGATAGTCTCCAAGCAGATGATTAAATAAACATTTTTAAGCTCTGACATTTGTATTATGTTTTTTAGTTTTAAAAGTGCTTTTCAACGTGTGACCTCTTAGTTTCCAGTGGTGAGGAAACAGACTCAGATTGGTTAATATAACCAAATCATTCAGTGAGCATGCATCAGGTGCTTGCCCTTGTGCTAAACACATCAGCATAATGAGGTGACAGTGGTGGTCTGCATCGTAGAGAGAGACTGAGGCTGAGAGGGGTTAAGTAGCTTACAAGACTTCTTCGAGTTGGAAGAGAAACCTGGCCCACTGCTCCTCAGCCTGAGCTTTTTCCCATGGCCTCATTGCACTGCCAATAAGTGACAGATTAGATTTGAATAGTTCTTCTGATTTTTTTTTTTTTTTTTTTTTTGCCGGAATATATGTTTGCACTTATCGTAAAGAAGAGAGCTGTCTAATATGCATTTCCTTAGTGACTTGCTTTGTTTTTTTTTTTTTTTTTTTGCCGGAATATATGTTTGCACTTATCGTAAAGAAGAGAGCTGTCTAATATGCATTTCCTTAGTGACTTGCTTTCTTCCTCATCTGCTTTCTATGCCTTCTAGAACTTTAGACCATATAGAGTTATTCGTTCATATGAGAATCATTGAGATCCTGGACTGAGTTCTTAAAAATCCCTGTGAAAGTTCTTAAAGTCTATCATTTACTATTCTTGACCTTCATATATGTACTTCTCAAGATGCTCACTGTCTTGGTTGCATTCCCCTTTGTCTTTCTGAGTAACTACTTCTAAACTGCTGTCCCCTAATCATATAATCGTTTAGCTTATTAAATTGTGTTAAAGGACTCATGAGCCAGAAGGGGGCTGCCTTTTGAGTATACTCTGTGAGGACATGGGATTTGAAATATCTATTCTAACTGTTGGACTGCTCAGATCCTCAGTAATCACAGCAGTTAGTAATTATTGACCTTTTGGTCAAGGTAAGACTTACGTACTCTACTTCCTTCATAACATTAATATCTAAAAAGGTGTTCCATTTGTCATTCATTATCTGTTAGGATCCCAGAACCTCAAAAGCCTCAACTGAAGCCACCTGAAGATATTGTTCGGTCAAATCATTATGACCCTGAAGAAGATGAAGAATATTATCGAAAACAGCTCTCATACTTTGACCGAAGAAGTTTTGAGAATAAGCCTCCTGCACACATTGCTGCCAGCCATCTCTCCGAGCCTGCAAAGCCAGCTCATTCTCAGAATCAATCAAATTTTTCTAGTTATTCTTCAAAGTAAGTTCTTTCACCTGGCTTTTAAAAAACAGGATGCAGCATATTAATCTCGTGCAGTTCAATATGTTTTGAAGAAAAATAGTTTAAATGTAATATATGATTTCTGTAGGCTCTAGTGCTTCAGCATTGTACATGGTTTTTTAGTTCTGGGATGTGTGTTTTGCTTTTAAAGTCTGCTGTTAGATGTACACAGTTTTTGCATTCACAAAGATGCTGACATCACAGGGCTTTGACGGAAGACAGTGTCAGCTACAAGGACCCTCATTGCTAGGTAATCATCAGTCTTCTGTACACACACAGAATGACCTCATGCTGGTTCTTTTTCTTTTCTGTTTTTATTTTTTAAATATAAAAACAGATGTGAGGAGGATCCTGTTTGAGGGAAATACCGAAGAGGTTTTTTGTTTTTGTAAGATTTCTGATCCAGTTTTACAGGTGAGGGAAAATGACAGGGCAGAGCTGGGACTGAACCCAAGTTTCTTGACTCCCAGTCATCTTTTCCCTGTTCTTGCTGCTCCCCTCTGTTTGCTGATCCCCGGGTTTCGTGTTAGTTTGTTCTCCTTTCTTGTGCCTGCGTGGGTTTGTGTCTCCTGCTGGTTCTGTGTCTCTGGTTGAACCCTGACTGATTAGAGCATTTGGTACTGATAGTTGGGTCTAAGCCCACACAGGCTTCATACCTCAACAGAACAAAACCCGCAAGAACAAAAACAGGTGTGGATTTGTCAAAAGAAATTCATGTACACAGTTACAGGGGCTGGCTAAGCAAGTCGTATTTCAGAGGGCAGTTGGTCAGGAAGGGAAGATTTTGAGCTACTGCAGAGTGTGAGATCACGGAAGGCCTAAATTCTCATTCAGAGGGCTCTACTGATTAGGCCAGGCCCTCCCAAGACCATCTCCCCTCAACTGACTGGGGACGTAAAACCTGAAAAATCCCTTCATAGAAGTATCTAGCCAGATTGACGTATTAGAATTCATCTCACATAGTATTGTGTCTAGATTAAAAGCACCTAGATTTTTCCTTAATTAGTTGCGTGGGCTTGGGATTATCTTGGGAAATTAATTATTTGTCATTTACTATTGTGTGAAATTGTTTTAGAACGTACTTTAAAACCACTAACATTAAAACCTAATTTTAATTACCACTGCTTTTTCTAAGACATCATTCGAAGTGAAGACTTAAAACATTTTTTTTCACTGTCTTATATTTAAGGCTTTATGTTTACAGAAGAAAGCAGTTTATGAGAATACAAATGCAAACTGAGAGTGCTGCAATGGGGGTTATATTAAATGCAAATCGTGTCTTGCACTAGTGTTGTGAACCACCCCTTAGCACAACACTAGAAAGGGGTTGTGGCATCTAGATGATGTCTAGACTGAAGTGAGCTAGGCACAATGTAAACCCGCACAGGCGCACAGCTGGGTTCATACCTCAACAGAAAAAAACCCACAAGAACAAAAACAGATGTGGATTTGTCATTAGGAATTCGTTTACATTTACAGTGTTACAGGAGTTCATTTACAGTTATCACAGTAGCATCTAAATGGTATCTAGCCTAAAGTGAGGTAGGTACTGAGCCTTAGGAGCTCACCTTTGGGTGTACCCTTTAGTTATTATTTTTATTAAACACCGTTAAACACATTCATTCCTGTCAGAAGAAGGCTCATGGGTGTAGTTTAAAGATATCTCTTATTTATCATTTTACATACTTGGTAAATAGAATACAACCTTAAAAGATTATATGGCCAGGCACAGTGGCTCACGCCTGTAATGCCAGCACTTTGGGAGGCCGAGACGGGCGGATCATGAGGTCAGGAGATTGAGACCATCCTGGCTAATACAGTGAAACCCCATCTCTACTAAAAATACAAAAAATTAGCTGTGCGTGGTGGTGGGTGCCTGTAGGTAGTCCCAGCTACTCGGGAGGCTGAAGCAGGAGAATGGCATGAACCCAGGAGGCGGAGCTTGCAGGGAGCCGAGATGGTGCCTCTGCACTCCAGCCTGGGCAACACAGTGAGACTCCGTCTCAAAAAAAAAAGGATTATATTTAGATCTAAAAAGAGTTGTTTTGCCAGGGAATCAATTGAAATGCATGTTTGCTTTGTTTTTCTAGAAAGAAGACTTAGCTTATTTGTGATGTATGACTTCAGGGTGTAGAACATTGCCTTGCATACAGTGGGGGCTTAATAATTGTTGAGTGAATGAAGCTCAAAACAGGGCATGGTGTACTAGGTGCATCCACCACCCTCCTTTTCATTAACATAGCTCTGGAAGGAACCTGTATTACCTGGTCATTGTTTTCACAGGGATATATTGTGAAGTAGATGACATCTGTCTTTGTGAATTTACTTGGAACTCAGTTTGATTTTACTCCCTGCTGCTGTGAGTGAGAAAAGCATAATTTGGGATGGATACCAGTATACTTTTTTTTCCTTTGTAGTGTGAAATTGAAACTCTCTATACTTGTGCTGCATTTTCCTATATAGGTATTTAATGGTTAGAGAATTGGAAAGGAGAATAAGGGTCATGGAAGATAACTAAGAGGGAAGTTGTTTCTGTAACTTTCCCTTGTAATGCTTTTTCATCCTCTTATCCGATAAGTACAACTTCATCAACTGGAAAATAGCTTAAAATATAGGACTCTGTCCTGCATTTCAAAACCATTTACTGTTTGTCCCTAAATAGACTGCCTTCAGGCATTTCTTTCTTTCCGTAAAATACAGGAGTGGCAAAATTTTCTTCCTCCAGATGATGTGTGCTTATGCTTCACTTAAAAACACACCTCAGAAATGGTGAGAATCAGAGACGGAAAATAATCTTTGTTAGCACAGGACACATGCCCCAGCAAGCAAGCAGATAACCCAGTCTTAAAATTCCATAGAGCTGGATTACAACTGGAAAGGTTAGGAGACAGTAGCTTAGACATTTCACCTCCAAAGTAAATTGGAAGTTTCCAGGATTCTAAGACAGTGCAAGAAGAGCAGTGTCCCTCCAGGGCTGTTCACATGTCTCCGCCCAGAGATTGAGTCAACTTCTTCAGGACAACCAGGGATTTTTTGTTATCAAGTCTACCTTTCAGGACTCAGCTCACTCAGCGAGACTTCCAGGTCTCAATAAATGATGGTGGTTTTTAGCTTTTAAAGAACTAAATGTAAGAGACTGATGTTCAGTTGTTTTTGTGTTTGTGAGACATCGTTAGATGAGAGAGAGACTGAGCATCAAGCATGCAGCTTCACCAGCAAGACTCCACCACCACAGGGCCCAGCTTACGATTGCCGATGCAGAAGGTCTTGCTAGAAAGGAACATGAGAAGTCTGGCCAGGTTTCAAGCCAGGCATGTTTGTATCTGTCCATTTACCATTCCCCTCCCAGGGGCTCGGTGTGGCTCTTCTGTTGTGTTACTTTTTCCTGTGTCTTCACTTGCAGTGTTTCTTTTGCCCAGCCTTTTTTTTTTTTTTCTTTACTAGGACATTTCACTCCCACTTACTCAGAACCTGCTGATTATCCTTGATCGCCACTCTTTGATTTGATAAATTTCTTTGCTCACTATTAGCAGCTGCAACAGAGGTGCAGAAGGAGCAAAGCTCAAACACATTGCTCTTCACTGCAGTACCAGTTAAAGTACATGAAGGGTGGGCCAGCAGATGGCATAACTAAGTGGCTGTGTTTTATCTATCTTTAATTTCCTTGGCCAAATGAGAGTTAGTGATATGTTCCTTTATAGACCAAATTATGGTGAAATGGTGGATGTTGGTTATTTTTAAATGACATTTGAGTTCCATTTGCTGCAAATTTACTTAGTTAGATTGACCATTTTCTTTCATTTTTCCGTTGCGCTTGCTTTGCCATCACCTAGATTTCTTGGCTCTTACACTAGCTATGACTACTTGAAAAGGAACGTCAAGTGGTAAGACTGGCAATTAATGTGAGGCTGTTCCGTAAGGTGTCCCTCACTGTGTCACTGGCATTATGTGCACTTTCAGATTTTAATGTCATCATCAAGGGCTTAGTCTAAATTCATGAAAGCAAGATAAAGAAGCCAATCATGAGACTTCTTCAATGAAAATGTATGAAAATGACCGGGATATTCCAAATGCGTATGTTATTGTGGGTGCACATAAAGCTAATGCGGCTTTGGCATTCAGCAGTAAGGTTTAGATGGCAATGTTGCAATTATGGGTCTTCTAAAAAGATTTGTGTGAATTTTGTGTTACATATTAACAATTGGCAATCTGAAAAAATAAGCATACATGGCACAATTTGACTTAAATGAACCTTCTAAGATAAAGCAGTATCAAAAAATGGACCTGGTAACTCAAGGGGAAATTTTAAAAGTAAAAGCTCCAGTTTTTTTAGTTTTACTGAAACACAGATATGCCCGTTGTGTGTGGCTGCTTTGAGGCTATAACCGCATAGTTTGAATAGTTGTGACAAAGACTGTATGGACCAAAAGACCAGAAACATTTACTTTCTGGTGTTTTAGTGAAGAAGTTTGCCAACCCCTAGTCTGCGACATCTGTTTTTGTAGTGCTCTGAGTATGCCAGATGCCAGATACAAAATCAGAAGTGGGTCTAGGGCTGGGCGCGATGGCTCATGCCTATAATTCCAGCACTTTAAGAAGCCGAGGCGGGCAGATCCCTTGAGGTCAGGAGTTTGAGACCAGCCTGGCCAACATGGCGAAACCCCATCTCTACTAAAAATACAAAAATTAGCCAGGCATGGTGGCTGGCGCCTGTAATGCCAGCTACTCGGGAGGCTGAGGCAGAAGAGTCGCTTGAGCCTGGGAGGAGGCAGAGGTTGTGGTGAACTGAGATCACGCCACTGCACTCCACTCTGGGCGACAGAATGAGACCCTGGCTCAAAAAAAAAAAGTGGGTCTCAGGAAAATTTGTGCCATGATATGTTTTCAGAATATTTGCAAGACTTTCTTAAATCTGTCAATGTTACTATCTTTTGTAAATAACAATTAAATATTAAAATATACCCAAAATTTCACCTGCCTTTGGTTGCCATCTTCCGGATGTTTTACTAATATTCTTAAAGTATTTGTGTGTGTGGACATTTCTTGTGCCGATAAATGGTTGAATCTGTTTTTATATTTCGGTAGAGTAGCTACCCATACTCACGAGAATAAATTGTGAAATTTCTAGTTAACTTAAGAGATACGTGCAGAAATGAGAACTTGTTTTGTAAATGTGAGTCCATTTTCAGGTGTTGGCATTTTCTTCATTTGTTAACAGGGGAAAGCCTCCTGAAGCTGATGGTGTAGATAGATCATTTGGTGAGAAACGCTATGAACCCCTCCAGGTCACTCCCCCTCCTCCTCCATTGCCCTCGCAGTACGCCCAGCCATCTCAACCTGTCACCAGCGCGTCTCTCCACATACATTCTAAGGGAGCACATGGTGAAGGTAGGAAGTTCGGAAGTAGACATTATAACACAGTAATGCTTAAGAAGTAAAATTCTGGTGGTTTCTAGGCAAAATGGTTTTTACATTAAAAAATACATGATTGAAACCTTTGGGCTGGGAACAATAAAAACTAAGAATTTTGTTAAAAGTATGTCTCCTGTTTTTACAAGACCATTATTTTGGACAAGCCTTTTAGCTAAACAGATTTTAATCTGTTTTGTGCTAGTCTCAATCTTGTGGAAGTAGTGTTTGCCAGTATATCTAAAGATGGTTTGTAAAACGTATTGTTATGTTTCATCTTCACACACCGAAATAGAAAAGCCATGGTGTTTCACAGAAAATGTATCCCATAGCACCTTGACTTTTGCATTTACATACCAGGTAGATCACATACAGCTCCAGCTTATTCATCTTAAGAGCTGTGTAACGTTTTACCCTCAGCATGTAACACAAAGTGTTTATCTCTTCTGCCGGGAACAGGCATTCTCGTAGCACAGACTTCTCTCTTATTCCCTTAGGAGGCACCTCCCAGGACTTGTGAGTCTTCAAGCAGACGTGTTATAGTTCTGGATTGAGACTTACTAAGATTTTGTTTCACACACGACCATGTTTACAGATGAAGACAGTTTTAATTCTTACTTTCCAGTCTTTATGCTTTTTCTTTTTTTCTTTTTTTTTTTTTCCTCTCTCTCTGTTTTGAGACACAGCCTTGCTCTCGCCCAGGCTAGAGTGCAGTGGCACAGTCTCAGCTCACTGCAACCTCTGTGTCTTGGGTTCAGGTGATTCTCCTGCCTCAGCCTCCTGAGTAGCTGGGACTACGGTGTACACCACTACGCCCAGCTAATTTTTGTATTTTTTGTAGAGACAGGGTTTCATCATGTTGGCCAGGCTGTTCGCAAACTCCTGACCTCAGGTGATCTGCCCACCTCGGCCTCTCAGGTGCTGGGATTACAGGCGTGAGCCACCGTACCTGGCCTTCTTTCTTTTCTTGCTGATTGCACTGGCCAGGACCTCCAATGAACTCTGAAACATAAGTGGTGAAATTGGACCTCTTTTGCTAGTTCCTGATCTTAAGGAGGAAGGACTTCATGTTTTACCCTTAGAATGTTAGCGGTGGGATTTTCGTCGATGTCCCTTGTCGTGTTTAAGATGTTCCCCATATTCAGAGTTCGCTGCGAGCAGTTGGTCAGATGTTTTTCCTGCATGTATTAAGATGACCATATGATTTTTCTTCTCATACTGTGGTAATTATATTGCCATGTTCAGGAGGAATTTGGATTAATAATTCTCTTGTCCTGTAGTGTCTTTAATTATTTCACAGAGTTCAGTTGGTACTATATTACACTGCCTCTGCCGGTGCATAAAAAATCCTGTGGTTCCACTTCTTAACCAACATTTGGCATTATCAAACTTTCCAGTTTTTCCATTCTAGTGTGTGTGAAATAGTATTTAATGCTTTTGGTTGGTTTTGTTTTACATTTTTCTAATTAATAGTGAGTGTCCTTATTATATAGTTATTGGCCATTCTGGTTTTCACAAAGACTAGTGCCAGTCTTTGGAGGCCAGGAATCTTAGCAGCTGGACCCTGACTCCAGGGCAGCAGGGTCTACTCATGGTACCGCCTGTCCGTGCGGGCCTCATCCCTCAGCACCACACCTAGCCTCCGGGGCTCAGGAGTCAGGCTCTGGCTGTGCGACCCACACTTGGGCCTCGACTCCAGCACCAGGACAAGTTGAGCTGGGAGAGGGCTGTTACACCTTTTTTCAGAAAGGTTTTTAAATGCTTATGTTTGTTTTTCAGGTAATTCAGTGTCATTGGATTTTCAGAATTCCTTAGTGTCCAAACCAGACCCACCTCCGTCTCAGAATAAGCCAGCAACTTTCAGACCACCAAACCGAGAAGATACTGCTCAGCCAGCTTTCTATCCCCAGAAAAGTTTTCCAGATAAAGCCCCAGTTAATGGAACTGAACAGACTCAGAAAACGGTCACTCCAGCATACAATCGATTCACACCAAAACCATATACAAGTTCTGCCCGACCGTTTGAACGCAAGTTTGAAAGTCCTAAATTCAATCACAATCTTCTGCCAAGTGAAACTGCACATAAACCTGACTTGTCAAAAACTCCCACTTCTCCAAAAACTGTTGTGAAATCGCACAGTTTGGCACAGCCTTCTGAGTTTGACAGTGGAGTTGAAACTTTCTCTATCCATGCAGAGAAGCCTAAATATCAAATAAATAATATCAGCACAGTGCCTAAAGCTATTCCTGTAAGGTAAGACTTTTGCCTTTGCTCAGAGCATTGCCCCTGTGATTTTTCTCATGTGAGTTTGTTGTAGTTTATTTGACTTGGGACTTTGAAGTGATCTTTTTAACTCAACCTTTAAACTGAAGAGTGTTGTTGCAGTGAATGCTGTTACATAGAAGGGCCTCCAGGAGTTACAAGCTGTTGGTAAAATAATAAAGCTAACAGTCATGTATGGTTGGTAGGTATTGTCATCATCCCTGTTTTACTAAAACTGAGGTTGAGTGACAGTAAGCAGATTGCCCAGGGTCACACAGCTAGAGTGAGGTGAGCCTCGATTTAGCAGCTGGTCATCCAACCTCTGAGCCCATGCTTTTTTTTTTTTTTTTTTTTTTTAAAGACGGAGTCTCCCTCTGTCGCCCAGGCTGGAGTGCAGTGGTGCGATCTTGGTTCACTGCAACCTCCACCTCCTGGGTTCAGGCGATTCTCCTGCCTCAACCTCCTGAGTAGCTGGGACTACAGGCGTGCACCACCACGCCCAGCTAAATTTTTTGTATTTTTAGTAGAGAGAGGGTTTCACCATGTTGGTCAGGCTGGTTTTGAACTCCTGACCTCAACTGATCCACCCACCTCGTCCTCCGAAAGTGTTAGGATTACAGATGTGAGCCACCACACCTGGCCTCTTTTTTTTTTTTTTTTTTTTATCAAGACAGAGTCTCGCTCTGTCACTCAGGCAGGAGTGGCGTGATCTCAACTCTGCAACCTGCAACCTCCGCCTCCCAGGTTCTAGCAATTCTCGTGCCTCAGCCTTCCAAGTAGCTGGGACTACAGGTATGCACCACTATGCCCTGCTAGTTTTTGTATTTTTAGTAGAGGCAGGGTTTTGTCATGCTGCCCAGGCTGGTCTTGAACTCCTAGGCTCAAGTGAGCCTCCCAAAGTGCTGGGATTACAGGTGTGAGCCACTGCACCCAGCCGAGAACCCATACTCTTAACCAGCCATGGCCTCTTGTATTCTCCTGACCTGCTGTTAAGGGGCATGTGGAGGACATCTAAAAACGTTGAATATCTATGTTCCTCTTTCATTATTTGTTCCACAATGATGCTAAGAAGAAAAATAGAATAGCCCTGACTGTTTAAAGAGCAGCAGTTAGTAAGATGGCTGAGCAAATGAGACAGAGCAAGCCCTCCTGGAGCCTCCCTGCAGCTCCTCTTTCCTGTCTTTCATTCCGTGGTGATTGACCGGATGGATTCTGGCCACACATTAGCTCATCTCACCCTCCTACAGCCAGTTCCATTTTCATGCCACCGTAAAGCAGAAGCACTTATAGGCAGGGAGAACCAAAGATCAGGATGGCCACCTGAGGCTGCTTTCCGAGAGCAAGGATGGTTATGGCGGTCACTGCCTTCCTAGCTCTGCACATCCACCGGTGGTCAGGGACAGACACAGTTGACCCCTGCTATGCAGCTCAGGCTGCACTCTGCTCCCTTGATATGTGCCGTAGGATGTCGTCCCTGGCACTCCGGTCATGCTGGAGTGAAACTGCAGCTACCTTCATGTGATTGTTTTGTTGGTCTTTCTGCTCACCTTTAAGCCCTGGCTCAAAACTGTCCTTCAGGAAGTCTTGATAGCCTCTATTTTTGAAGCTGTCATTGATACCACATCTCCTTTGCCTTTGGTGTTGTGTGATTACTAAGTTAATCTACTGTCTCTCTTTTTGTGGATGTTTGGGATGTGCCCATACAAGGGTCTTCAGCTCATGGAACCTTGGAAGCCTTGCCTTCTGCAGCAGGGTGGGCACTTGGTCCTCAGGGATGCTGAGGCAGGACCATATTCATGTGCACTTAAAATCCTAGGGAGATGTTATCAAGTCTGAGATGCTGTCAGCTGTGAGATGCACCATTGTTTTGTGTCACTAAGAATGGAAGAACAGCCGGGCATGGTGGCTCATGCCTCTAATCCCAGCACTTTGGGAGGCTGAGGCAGGTGAATCATGATGAGATTAGGAGTTTGAGACCAGCCCGGCCAATATGGTGAAACCCCATCTCTACTAAAAATACAAAAATTAGCCAGGCGTGGTGGCACATGCCTGTAGCCCCAGCTACTCGGGAGGCTGAGGCAGAAAAATCATTTGAACCCGGGAGGCAGAGGTTGCATTGAGCCAAGATCGTGCCACTGCACTCCAGCCTGGGCAGCAGAGTGAGACTCTGTCTCAAAATAATAATAATGATAATAATACTCTCTGAGATAACCCTGTCAGTAAAATCTGTTGCCAGAAACTTATCTTGTTAAAGTAACTTCTTGATTATATGGAGAAACAGAAGTAAAATGAAAGCACGTAATACAGTAGTAGTGAAAGCAAAGCACCTGTGTACCATTAGGAATTCACTCACTAGCCATTTCTGAACTTTCAGTCCTTCAGCTGTGGAAGAGGATGAAGATGAAGATGGTCATACTGTGGTGGCCACAGCGCGAGGCATATTTAACAGCAATGGTGGCGTGCTGAGTTCCATAGAAACTGGCGTCAGTATAATTATCCCTCAAGGAGCCATTCCCGAAGGAGTTGAGCAGGAAATCTATTTTAAGGTCTGCCGAGACAACAGCATCCTCCCACCTTTAGATAAAGAGAAAGGTAAATGTGTTTATTTTTCTCCTTAGTTTTGATAACTTAAGAGTTGCCCTGTGTGCACTTTAAAGCTTATAGTGCTTGGCTAAGGGGGTAATGCAGCACCTCTCTCTACCTCCACCCTGGGCCACTAATAATAGCACGTTCCTTTCATCAGGGAGGTCCTTTCAGATGAGTGCTGTAGCGAGGGGTGCCCTGGGGATGGTGTTGCAAGCAGGCAGGAGGTGGCCTGAGGCAAGGCTGTGGTGGCCACACTGCCTGCTTTTACTTTTGGTATGAAGTAAAAAAATGATGGCATAGGACAGTCCACGGGATGTCTCTCACTTGTGCCTGCTGAGCAGCCTGGGCTGACCCAACCAAATTTGTCTTGGAGTCAGTCAGCCTTTGCGTCTCTGGAGATGGGTTAGGTAACACCCACTCAGAAAGGCTTTGCTGTGTCTTCACCTGATTGGAGAACCTAAACGTCTTGACAGGTACTGTCTTATCATCACCCCAGAACCTACACTAGTACATGCTCGGCAGAGTGCACGAAGGAATCTCAGAGGAGATGACAGTATGTTTCTGAGCTTCTTAAGGAAACTGTTATTTTCATAATCCTCCTGGATCTATCAGGATATTGTAACGAACTGTGTCGTGATTTAGCATCTTTTAGCAGTGCTTTTACTTTCCTAAATCAGTTAACACTTTCTTACGTTTTGCCAGAATACTGCTATCTGATTCTGTACTCTGATTCTGGGGATATCCTGTTTTAAAAACCAGTAGGACTGACTGTGTTGGCCCTGCATGAATCCCTTTAAGCATCTATGGAGCAAATTTTAAAAATGGAAAATATGTCACATTTGTAACAAGTACATTTGAATATGTTTTATACTATAGACCCATATGATTGAATGCAGTAGCCACTACCTGCACGTGGTTACCTCGCACTTGAAGTGTGACAATTTTGGATTGAAAGATGCTGGAAATGTGAAATAAACACCAAGTTCCAAAGATACCATATATTGGTTACATGTTGAAATAACAGTGTTTTGGTTAGATTGAGTTAAAATACTATACTATTTGTTATCACCTGTTTCTTTTTACTTTCTAACGTGGCTACTGGGAAATTTAAAATTCCATATGTGGCTGCTGTTACATTTTTTTTGTGGTCAGTGCGATTGTAGAGAACTAACTGCATTAGGCTTTCAAGCATATAATTAGAAGCAGGGTGAGGAAAACTGGGGGTCTAGAAGAAAGACCACATCCAACCTCTCTGCCCATCCCCTTTTCCAACTCCAGGTGAAACACTGCTGAGTCCCTTGGTGATGTGTGGTCCCCATGGCCTCAAGTTCCTGAAGCCTGTGGAGCTGCGCTTACCACACTGTGCGTCCATGACTCCTGACGGTTGGTCTTTTGCTCTAAAATCATCCGACTCCTCGTCGGGTATGCTGTCTTCACTCTGTCCTTTGGGGCTTTGGGGACTGTCGTTGATTAATACCTGGGCTGGTGATGCTACCCATGCTGTGTGTTAGCAAATCTCTCCCTCTGTTCCTGTGGCCTTGTAGGCATCACCGGTATTTCCACATTTATTTATGGTGCATATATTGTAAATAAATATGGAAAGATAGAAGAGTTGCTTCCTTTTAAAAATTGATCATTTGGGCCAGGCGTGGTGGCTCACGCCTGTAGTCCCAGCACTTCGGGAGGCCAAGGCGGGTGGATCACCTAAGGTCAGGAGTTCAAGACCAGCCTGGCCAACATGGTGAAACCCCATCTATACTAAAAATACAAAAATTAGATGTGTTGGCACACGTCTGTAGTCCCAGCTACTCAGAAGGCTGAGGCAAGAGAATTGCCTGAGCCAGGGAGGCGGAGGTTGCAGTGAGCCGAGATCATGCCACTGCACTCCAACCCGGCCAACAGAGCGAGACTCTGTCTCAAAAAAAAAAAAAAAAAATTAATAATTTGGCCAAATAATTGAGTTATTTCTTGGTATTCAAAATTATTGATTCTGTCCAATTTTTCAGGATGCAGTGGGAGAATTGTTACTGTCCTGCACAGACAGGCATTTTTATCTTATTAAAATTAGTTCATTCCTTTCTATAACTATTTATATTTTTGGTTACTGTTGTTTCGTTTCTTTTTTGTTTGTTTTGTTTTGTTTTGTTTTGTTTGAGACGGAGTCTTCCTCTGTCGCCCAGGCTGGAGTGCAGTGGCACGATCTCGGCTCACTGCAAGCTCTGCCTCCCGGGTTCAAGCGATTCTCCTGCCTCAGCCTCCCGAGTAGCTGCGATTACAGGAGTGCGCCACCACGCCCGGCTAATTTTTGTATTTTTAGTAGAGATGGGGTTTCACCATGTTGGCTAGGCTGGTTCGAAATCCTGACTTCAAGTGATCCACCCGCCTCAGCCTCCCAGCGTGCTGGGATTACAGGCATGAGCCCCTGCACCTGTCCTGTTTAATTTCTTAATCTACAAAGTATGTATACCAGAGAAACTTAAAAGAATCTTCCATTGTGATCATACTTGGCCATGGTTTTTCAGTGTAATACCCTAAATTGCTTCTTTTATACACTATTTGTAAACAACTTTTTGCTCCTAAGATCATAATTTCAAAGCTTCCATTGCATTTTCACATTTCTCACTTCCTTGAGTGACTTAAGTCAGTTAACAATTAGAATTTTATTTTGGGTGTAGATCACTTTAAGCGAACCTGATTTAAAGTCCTGCTTCCAAATCTTTGATAAATCAGACGAGCATTATTTAGTTTTAGTTGGGTACAGTATGAAATAAAAGTTTGTGGTATAAAGATCATAGCAAGAGCATATTTTAATGTTACCAAAGAAAAAAATTACTTGTAAATACATATTTCCTCATATTTACAAGTACCGCATTTTCTGGAAAAATGAAATGCTTTTGGCTCCAGCTATGGCTTAGGTAATGTCTGACATACTGTGGGCAGGGTTCTCAGCTGGCACTGTCTGACATACTGTGGGCAGGGTTCTCAGCGGCACTGTCTGACGTACTGTGGGCAGGGTTCTCAGCGGCACTGTCTGACGTACTGTGGGCAGGGTTCTCAGTGGCACTGTCTGACGTACTGTGGGCAGGGTTGAGCCTCCCAAAGTGCTGGGATTACAGGCGTGAGCCACCGTGCCCGGCCCATTGTGGGATATTTAGCAGCTTCCCTGGGCCTCTACCCCTAGATGCCAGTGGTAACAAGCAAACTGTCTCCAGATGTCCCATCTGGGGCAGGGCCGTTCCTGTTTGAGAGCTATTGCTGTAAGGGAAGCAGAAATCCACAGCTGTGACTCTCAGCTTGCTTGGATACCACAGAGACACATACTTGTCCCTGCCTTCTTCACATTTAATAGAAATCACCAAGAGCTTATTAAAAACTTAAATCCTGAGATCTAACTAACACCCAGTCAGTGAGTTTCTGAAGCTGCGTGATTAATTTTGTTGTTCAGCTGGAATCAGAGCTGAGCAGCTCTGGTGCAGTCTCGTTTCTTTGTTTGTTTTTTGTAAGGGGAAAGATGGTCTTCAAGAACTAGATTCTGCAGAACTGGGTTTCATTTGTTGGTCTATAGTTGAGTATGAGAAATGTGTCCTCATTCTCAGCTTAAATAGGTGATCATATAATTATCCTCCAGACTTTTGAAAGGGGGGAAGAAAAAGTGCTGCTGATAATTATGTGGGCTCGGGCAAACTGGAACTGTCCCAGACATGAGATTGCCGTCACTCACTTGTATTCGTTTTTTGAAAAGTCAGTGCACTTGATAATGTAATAAAGGAGAAGTCCGAAAGTTAAAAAAAAGAAAACTGTTCTTAATGGTGTGAGTTGGAAAGAAAGTTTTAAGTATTTTTTTAAATAGAAGTGTGAAACACCTTTGAAATTGTTAGGTGGCAGCAGGTGTGCATTGAAATAAAGCAGTGAATTTTGATAACAAATACAATATGCTGAAGAAACAGAAGAAAATTATGTTTCAATATACATATTTGCCCTATAATTGCAAAGCATTGCAGATAGCAATTACTCAACTGTAAATGACGTCACCTTCTTTTCTCTCATAGGTGATCCTAAAACCTGGCAAAACAAGTGTCTTCCTGGAGATCCAAATTATCTCGTTGGAGCAAACTGTGTTTCTGTCCTTATTGACCACTTTTAACTCTGAAATATAGGAACTTGATTAAATAATGTGAAACTGGATTAAACTTAATCTAAATGGAACCACTCTATCAAGTATTATACCTTTTTTAGAATTGATACTACAGTTTGTTAGTATGAAGCATTTGTTTGAACTGATAAAGATTAGTGAGCATGCCCCTGAACCATGGTCAGAAAACATGCTACACGCTGTGTGTTTGTGATTGACGGGACTGTTGGTATTGGCTAGAGGTTCAAAGATATTTTGCTTTGTGATTTTTGTAGTTTTTTTTTTTATCGTCACTGCTTAACTTCACATATTGATTTCCGTTAAAATACCAGCCAGTAAATGGGGGTGCATTTGAGGTCTGTTCTTTCCAAAGTACACTGTTTCAAACTTTACTATGGCCCTGGCCTAGCATACATACACATTTTATTTTATTATGCATGAAGTAATATGCACACATTTTTAAAATGCACCTGGAATATATAACCAGTGTTGTGGATTTAACAGAAATGTACAGCAAGGGGATTTATAACTGGGGGAGGGTGAAGTGAAGACAATGACTTACTGTATATGAAAACACATTTTTCATAGGGAAGGATACAGAAGCATGTGAGACTGGTTCCATGGCCTCTTCAGATCTCTAACTTCACCATATTACCACAAACATACTAACCAGCAGGAATGCCTTACCCTCATGTTCTTAATTCTTAGCTCATTCTCGCTGTATGTTACTAAGTTTTTATGGCTTTTGTGCATTATCAAGATACTGTATCATGACAAAGACTGAGTAAATTGTGCATTTGGTGGTTTCAGAAATGTGTTATCACCCAGAAGAAAATAGTGGTGTGATTTGGGGATTTTTTCTTTTCTTTTTTCTTTTTCTTTTTTTTGGACAAGGGGCAGTGGTTGTTTTCTGTTCTTTCTGGCTATGCATTTGAAAATTTTGATGTTTTAAGGATGCTTGTATATAATGCGTGCATACCACTTTTGTTCTTGGTTTGTAAATTAACTTTTATAAACTTTACCTTTTTTATACATAAACAAAACCAAGTTTCTAAAGGCTACCTTTGTATTCTCTCCTGTACCTCTTGAGCCTTGAACTTTGACCTCTGCAGCAATAAAGCAGCGTTTCTATGACACATGCAAGGTCATTTTTTTTAAGAAAAAGGATGCACAGAGTTGTTACATTTTTAAGTGCTGCATTTAAAAGATACAGCTACTCAGAATTCTCTAGTTTGATTAAATTCTTGCAAAGTATCCCTACTGTAATTTGTGATACAATGCTGTGCCCTAAAGTGTATTTTTTTACTAATAGACAATTTATTATGGCACATCAGCACGATTTCTGTTTAGATAATACACCACTACGTTCTGTTAATCATTAGGTGTGACTGAATTTCTTTTGCCGTTATTAAAAATCTCAAATTTCTAAATCTCCAAAATAAAACTTTTTAAAATAAAGTGCTGGTTTGGTCTGTTTGCCCCCTGTTTTCTAGTTTCCTGCAGCTTTATAATCCTGTTTTAAAATCCTGCACACAAATCCTTATCACCCAGCCTCACCCACTACCTCGTCGTCTGGTGTCGCATGCAGAATCTGTCCCCTTGGCCGGCACGTACGGATGGGTGGGCAGTGCTCACCTGCAGGGCTCAGATCGAAGTGGGGCAGAAGGACCTGGAGACAGAGTGGGAGAAAGCAGCAGGTAGACTTCCCCCTGCGGATAAACACACACCCCTGCGTGGGAAACACCCCTGTGTGGGGAAACACACGTGCGTTCCTGTGTGTGTGCACGCACGCGCGTGAGGGACCATTTGTGTCACGTGCGTTCCTGTGTGTGTGCACGCACGCGCGTGAGGGACCATTTGTGTATGGTTTTATTCCCCAGGTAAATAGCATGTCACCCACATTGGGGAAAGAAAATGGGTTTAATGAGCATAAATATTCTATTGTGGATACCCTACTTATTTAACTACCACCCCTGTTGATATTTAGCTTATTGCTATAGTGTTCTAGTAAACATCTTTGTGGATTGAATCCATCTATGTGGATTTTATTTTGTTTCATCTTTATTAAGGTATAATTTACATATAGTAAGTTACTGTTTTTAAAATGTATAGTTCAGATTTTGACAAACACATACTGTTTATTTACCACAGTTAATGCATCAAACAGCCTTCTCAAATCATTTGTACCCCTGTATATTCAACCCTCTTCCAGCCCCTGGCAGGGTGATCTCTTCTGTTTCTGTCGTTGCCTTTTGACAGCATCATATAAATGGAATCTCCGATATGTTGCCTTTGAGTCTGGCTTATTTCCCTTAGCGTGATGCATTTGAGATTCGTGGATGACGCTGCAGGTTCTTTTTTATTGCCACGTGGTATTCCATTGTGTGGCTGTACCAGAGCTTGCTTATCCTTTCCCCAGTTAAGGAACTTTTGGGTTGTTTCCAGGTTTGGGAGGCTATTAATAAACTGCTATAAACATTTGCATACAGGGTTTTGTGTAAACATTTCTTCATTTCGCTTGACTTCAGTTTGATGGATGTCTGGTTTATCAGTTTGTTCTTTCACAGATTGTGCTTTTGTTATATTTTCACTAAGTTTTACATCTTCACTAAGAGAAATCTTCACTTAGCCCAAAGTGTAAAGATTTCTCAGGTTTCAGAATTTTTTGTTTTATATTTATGTCTATGATTCACTTTGAGTTAATTCATGTGTAGTATGATGTAGGGGTTGAGTTTTTTATTGTTTTAAATGTGTCCTTATCGTAAACACAGACACATATATAAGGCCTAAATAAGAGTTTTCATTTAAATAGGGAAACAATGTCTTGTGAAAGGGACGGAACTCAGTAAGTCTGTTGTTTGTCCCCCTACCTTTTAGTATGTGATGAACATCCGGTCAGGTGTAGATACCTAGCGCTGCTTCCTAAGGACATGTCTGTGCCTAACCGCCTTCGCACAGCACTGAGCATGGGCAGTGAGTTTGTTCAGATGGCCAAGTTTGAGAGGCAGAATTCTGCTTTTGCCCTTCCCCTATACTAACATTGTACTCGACAAAGGCGTAGTGAACGTCCACTAACACCGCGTGAGTCAGTTCCTCCTCTTGACCTCTGAGCGAATACTTGATGCAGTACACAAGGCACTGTGCAGATGGAGATGACTCAGGTGAGGAGATCCGGACGTTGACACTGTGGCTTCCGTCTAGACCGGGAGCAGTTGCAGGAAGGGATGTGGCAGCAGAAGCAGAAAGGCCACCTAGCAGGCAGATGGGGAATAAGTTTTCGGTTTGCCTTGACTCGCAGTTTGAAAACCATTTACTGTGGAAGCCACGCTGTTTTCTGTGCAATTTGCAGAAAGCAAACCCAAGGGCTGTGTGCACAGATGCATCCCGGGACACGTTCCCGTGGCTGCCCGGCAGCCCTACAGAGAGTGACCCAGCACTTACCTGTTCCCAGGCTGCTTACCTGGGTTTCCCCAGATGATGGAGTGTGGGAAGACCCATTGTGATGTGCTGGTTTTTACAGAACCACATTGTTGTCTCCTGATCAATTTGATCCCAGCAAAAACTCAGTGGCATTTTTGACTCTTACCTACTCGGGTGTTTTTCTTTGGAACAACTCAACAGTGAAAGAGCTATTGCCCAAGATGCAGGAATACCATTTGGTTTGGGGTTGGGGTTTTTTTGTTTGTTTTTGGCGGGGGAATTCACTAAGAAGGTGTATATTAAACTTGGAAGATTTCTAGTTCAAAACTATAAAATGGATAAAACGTTAAGTGTTTTCCATTTCTATTGTAGACAGTTAGGGCTTTCTTTACCAGTGGCCATGAAGGTGCCCCCTAGCGCTTGTTTCTCCCAGCTGATGGGTGTTCACTCAGGTTAGCCAGAAGTTGACACAAACGAGGTGCTCAGAGGAGAGCTCTGTAACCAAGTGTGACAAGCCTTCCACACTGTGACACTCCCCTCCCTCCCTCCGCAGCATAGGCCATTCTGAGGGAATTGTGTCCACAGTGGTCTAGGAAACCACATGCCAATAAAGACTAAACATTGAGTTTTGTGGCCCCAGGTTTTCTGCCTACTGGCACAATGCCAGGCAGGGGAGATGTGGAGGGTTTTCACTCGGTGCACGAGAGAAGTCACCTTGTGAGACGCAGCAGAGCCCGCATGTGGACGGCCCTCCTCTGGCACTCGCCCACGGAAAAAGAGGAAGAGGTGGGTGCACGGGTGGTGATTTTAGCGTGTTTGTACCTTGGCTTGATTGTCACCGTAAAGGTTTGAGGTAATTTGATCTCTTTGTCCACATATCACCTCCTGGTCTTAAGTGGATTTGAAAACATGCAGGTGTAAGTCATTTTATACCCCCTTAAAAACAGAGAAGGAAGGAAAATGTGGAAACTGACCTGTGGCCAGTATGCTGCTGCTGAGTGTTGAGGGGCCTGCCAAGTATTCACCCTAGCAGCTCTTCAGTTCTTGTCAAAGGGGGTGTGGCAGAAACCGGCTGGAATGACGGCAGTGGGGTTCCTAGAGAGGACCTTGAGGACAAGGGGCTTCCCAGAGCACTTCCGAGAATGAGCGTCTTCCGTGTTGGATAAGGACAGCTTGAGGATGAGTGGGAACCAAGTGGAAAGGACGGAGGTTGAGACCCAGGGAGCAGCCCCAGTCTTGAAATACCTACCAAGTGGCGGTTGCAGTTGTAGTGGGAAGCTCAGGGCTTTCAGAAGCTTTTGAAACCAAGTGCTTTAAAGCAAAGTTCAGTTTCTTTGCAGCCTGCTCTTTAGTAGAGGACACATGTACCAAACAGTCCCAGGGCCTAATTGTTTTTTTGTTTCCTGGAGACGGAGTCTCGCTCTGTCACCCAGGCTGGAGGGCAGTGGGGCAATCTCGGCTCACTGCGCCGCCATGCCTGGCTGATTTTTGTATTTTTAGTAGAGACAGGGTTTCACCATGTTGGCCAGGCTGGTCTCAAACTCCTGGCCTCAAGTGATCCGCCCACCGTGGCCTCCCAGAGTGCTCGGATTAATTACAAGCATGAGCCACTGCGCCCTGCCCATTGGTTTCTTGATAGGCCCAGGGAGGAGGGTGGAAGTTTGGTCAGTAGGATCCAGTGCTGCTGCCCCTGGGGAACAGGATTTGGTTCTTATGTTTTTGAATATTTAAACTCAGTTGAAGTGCTTCCACCAAGCCTTGAGGAGTTGCTCCCCAGTTTTAGCAACCATTAATGTGCCACATTTATGACAGCACAAACTGCAAATTTTCCAAGAAAGCATCTTGGACTTGAGTCCTCTTGAAGCACTTTTGTGGCCTTTCCAAGGAGGACCACAGGAAACACAGGGCAGGCACCAGGAAGCAGCAGAAAGTGGATCTGCGTCCACTGTCTTGACGACTTTGTGGGATAGAGGCAAAGAACCCTGTGCAGGGAGGACGGGACTAAACCGAAGGCCCTCACCTCAGTCAGGGAACCAGGAGAGCATCGCCTTCAGCCCATCACAGCCCAGCAACTTAAGCGTCCACCACCCAGGCAAGGAGAAGGGTTAGTTTTTATTTTGTTAGCGTATTTTCACACTTAGTTGCAATAACACAGCATTTGCGAGAATAATACAGAAAACTTCCTTCTGCCCTTGACCTAGACTGCCTGAGGGTTGCCAGTTTTCCACCTGTGCAGTGCACTCTAGGTAGGTAGGTAGGTGGGTAGTCAGCTTGGGCTATCGTAACCAAATACCATGGACCGAGTGGCTTCAACCAGGTCCAAGATGCTTCCTTGGAAAATTTGCCGTTTGTGCTGTTGTCATTTATTTTCTCATCGTTTCGGAGGCTAGAAGGTGCCAGCGTGGTCAGTTTCTGTTAAGGGTTCTCTTCCTGACTTGTAAACAGCAGTCATCTCTGTGTCCTCAGTGGCCTGTCCTTGATACATGCACATGGAGAGAGCAGACACGCCCTCTGGTGTCTCATGGGGATCCTTATCCTATCAGATCAGTGCCCACCCTTAGGACCTCATTCAACCTCAGTTGCTTCCTTAGAGACCCCATGTCCAAATGCACCCACAGTGGGGGTTAGGAATTTTAGGGGACATAAACATTTCTGCCCGTAACAGTATTCTTCTGAATCATCCGAGCATAAGGTTGAAGACGTGATGCATATTACCTAAGAACCAGGGTATTCTCTCATGTAACTGCAGTACACTTAACCTCAGAAAGCTTTACAAGAATTGATCTTGGCTTCATCTCTTTTCTTCTGTTGACTCTCTGTTTTTCATTGCATGGAGTTTGCGCTAGTCTTTATTATTTCCTTCTTGCTTTGGGTTCAGTTTGTTCTTTTTCTAATTTTTGAAGGAGGAAGCTTGGTTTAGTGATTTCAGATATTTTTAAAATAGGCATTTAAAAGCTATAAATTCCTTCTAGACACTGTGTAGCTGTATTTCATAAATGTTGATATTTTTACATTTTCATTTAGTTCAAAATATTTTC